ACAGGAGCTGAATTCATTGAAGATGATGTGTTGGTCAGGATAAAAAGAGAGGTTGGGAGAACAAAGTACTAAAATCATTGTGGTCAAGAGTTTAGTAAGTGTATACCAGAAGAGTTATTGAGTGATATGAGTTTGAAATAGGCAAAGCTATAGGAATGGGGGCTGGAAAGAATATTAGAAGGAACACTAAATATACTTCTGAGGTCTACCTCCTGGTCTGTGAACATAAAGGAGTTGAAAGAGTAATGGCTGAAGTTCTTTAGCTAAAGTTGTTTAGCTAAAGTTAGAATGTGTTGAAAGTTGTATTTGAGGAAAAAAGGTTAAGGATACAGTTGACCGTTCGATAATGTAGCCCACTGTTGACCAGAAGCCCTACCCATAACATAAACAGTCAATAACACATATTTTGCATATGTATTATATAGTATATTCTTACAATAAAGTAAACTAGAGAAAAGAACGTGTATCAAGAAAATCATAAGGAAGAGAAAATACATTTACAGTACTGTATTTATTGGTACTATACATTTATGTTGTCGGTTTACAAGATGAAGCATCTGAAATGGCCAGCAGCTATAGCTGTACGTATCTACTGTACATATCAAGCAAGTCACCTTATTCTTATAACATCCATGACTTTTCTCCACTTCTTGAAAGCACTTCCATTATCACTATTGGCACTTCATATGGGTCTCATGGTGTTAAGGTTTACAGCATTGCATTAAGCACAATGAAAAATACACAAGAGGGCTGGGCGCGGTGGCTCACGCCTGTAATCCCAGCACTTTGGGAGGCCGAGGCGGGCGGATCATGAGATCACAAGGTCAGGAGATCAAGACCATCCTGGCTAACATGGTGAAACCCTGTCTGTATTAAAAATACAAACAATTAGCCAGGCATGGTGGCATGCGCCTGTAATCCCAGCTAATCGGGAGGCTGAGGCAGGAGAATCACTTGATCCCAGAAGGCGGAGGCTGCAGTAAGCCAAGATCGTGCCACTGCACTCCAGCCTGGGTGATAGAGCAAGACTGTGTCTCAAAAAAAAAAAGAAAAAGAAAAAGAAAAAAAATTACACAAGAACCGTGAGAGAGTGAGAGATAGCTTTTGATTGCAATACACAATTTACTGGAGAGATGAGCTGATCATACAGAGATGATTAGTGTCACACGGTGTTTTAAATAGATTCTTGCAACCCTTGAGCTCACTGCAGTAGCAACAGAAGTTAGCTATGAGATGTTAACAGTAGTATAGTATGTACTACAGTTAATATTACGTAACTATGATTTAATGCTGCATCTTTGCATTTGTTTATTATCTTGACTACAAGTGGTATTATGTCTGGTCTTAAGGTTTGTGTGCATATGTTTTGATGAATTTTAACTTTTTATAATAGGTTTGTGTATATTTTATGTCAGTAAATGATAAAACAGACTAATAATCTACATATATTTTATGTATTCATGACATAAATCTAACTTTTTCTTAACTTTTTGATATTTCCAGGCTATGTGTTTCATCTGCAGGTTTTTTCAAATTGTTGAAATCTCTGAAAAATGTTATTGAAAAAAAATCCATATATATAAGTGGACCCACACATTTCAAACCTGTCTTCAAGGGTCAGCTGTGTAAATAATTTTCTTCATAATTAAAGTGGAAAAGGAGAGTTACTACTAGTAGAAAGTAGAACTGTACCCTTGAAATGTGTGTGTGTGTGTGTGTGTGTGTGTGTGTGTGTGTGTGTGTGTGTGGTTACAGATCAATTTAACTTAAAACTTCTTGGTTAGAGATAAAACTGGTGTTCATTAGCCTTAATTTACATGAAAAATGCAAAATGTTAGGCCAGGCACAGTGGCTCATGCCTGTAATCACATAACTTTGGGAGACTGAGGCGAGCAGATCACTTGAGGTCAGGAGTTCAAGACAGCCTGGCCAACATGGTGAAACCCGTCTCTACTGAAAATACAAAAGCTAGCCAGGCGCAGTGGCACATGCCTGCAATCCTAGCGACTTGGGAGACTGAGGCAGGAGAATTGCTGGAACCCGGGAGGCAAGGTTGCAGTGGGCTGAGATCACACCACTGCACTTCAGAGTGGGTGACAGAGCGAGACTCCGTCTCAAAAAAAAAAGAAAAATTTGAAAACACAGAGTATTTTTTAATCTGCAAGAGCTTTATAGCCTTTTATTCATATGTATAAGCTTTTAAAGATGAGTAAAATTTTAATTTAGTGTGGACTTTCCACTCATTTGAAATCCTATATTACAGGTGTTAATTCAATTTTAGTGAGTGTGCATCATGGCTCAGAGAGATAGGACTAGAATGAGGAGGTCACATTGGAGACTCTGAAACAGATACATGTGAGCCTCCCAACTTTTTAATATTTGTTAATCCAGAAATGTTGAATTTCGGGTGCTGACAAGGCAGCAGGTAGATAATAATTGCAAAGTTAAGAAAATAGACTATAATTTTGATGGTAAACTAATTGATTAAATTTTAAAATGTACTTTTCCATGGTTTTCTTTGAATTGTCAGTAATTTTGTTTCAACTGGTATTCACACATAAATTATTCACCCAATGTTGACAACTAGTAGATTTACATATTTTTTATGTTTGCCTATCCTTTTTTGGGTAAGGATTAACAGAATGTATAAACACCTACATTATAGGTACACTACTAATCACTTGCTACTTGAAAAAACCTAAAGCTTTGAAATCTTTTTATTATTGCACACAGACTTATGCCAAAAATGGAGATAAAGAGAAAAATGTCATCCACTAAACCCCAACAAATAATGTCGACAATGTGGTCTCCTCGTAGACTTGCATTGACTTAATTTTTTTAAAAAATGTTATTGCATATTTTGACTAGATTATAAATGCATATGGTTAAAAAATTCACATGATTCAAAAAAGTTCCCCTCCCACTCATCTTCCATGTGATATTTCCTTTAGCTAACCTACTTAGCAATTCTATATTTATCCTGCTAAACATGAATGATAGTTGTTTGCTGAAATTACATTGAATGTGATGTAATAAGTCATTGTAAGTTTACATTTTTTAGCTTTAATAATTTTTAATGTTTTAATGAAGAGTAGTAGTACTGCTCTTCAAAGTACTACTATTTTCCCTTACCTTTTACTGTTTTGTTAAGAAAATCATATAGAAATAAAATTCCAGCTATTCAAAAACTGTACCTTAAGTACAGGTAGAGAATTGCTAAAACCGTATACTATTTTGTAGTTTTAGCATGCTTTTGTGTAACTGCATCTGGTGTTTGATCCTCATGAGAACCCTGTTAAGAAGGAAGGGTACATATTATTGTCCTGATTTTCCTTCGAAAACACGTCAGAGTTTGTATTTTGACTGTCAGCATTGAAATACAAGTCTTTTATTTATAAAATTGTGGTCTTTATACTGTGGCCAAAATCTTAAATCACTTGTCAGGATTAGAAATGGTTTATACCTGTTTTTTTGACATTTATACACATACACACATATTTTTAAATTGTCTATAATAAAATCATGCGCATCTTTGAAAAAATATTAGGAGTACTACAATGGATACCTACATTCTTGCTATTTATCATACCTGGTTTTTTGTTTGTTTGTTTGTTTTTTGAGACAGTCTGTCTCTGTTGTCCAGGCTGGAGTGCAGTGGCGCGATCTCAGCTCATTGCAACCTCCGTCTCCCAGGCTCAAGTGATTGTCCTGCCTCAACCTCCCAAGTAGCTGGGACTACAGGTACACACCACCACGCCCAGCTAATTTTTTGTATTTTTGGTAGAGACGGGGTTTCACCATGTTGGCCAGGCTGGTCTCGAACTCCTGACCTCAAGTGATTCAGCCCGCCTTGGCCTCCCAAAGTGCTGAGATTACAGGTTGTGAGCCACTGTGCCCGGCCTGTTTTTAAATTCACATAAATATGTTTTATATTTTTCATTAGGGAGAATAAGGTTATTTGTGTCCAGAATTTTTAAGACACTGGGGAGGTGCAGATGCCAGTAGTAATTTAAAGAGAAATAATTGCAAATTCTTTTTCCTCCTGAGTATACTTTCATTTAAATTACAGTTTTCTGTAAGTTACTTTTAACTGTTAAACTTCTTAATGTTGCTTATTGTTTGTCTTATATTTCTAGGTTGGATTTTTCTTAAGTCACATGTCTAATAAACCCTTAAATACCTCATTTATTCATCATCGTTAGTGAATGCATTATTGTACATATTAGATTTTTCTCTTTAGATAACTCAGCTTCCCCTATTAAATGCCACATATATTATATATATTTTGTTTATGTTTTATTATTTAATGAACTCTTGAGAACTACATGCATTTTAATCATTTGTAATACTTACATTTTCTAAAATCCTTCATTTTCCCCTGGTTTCTTCAGCAAAGAGATGCATGTAGTACAGGGATAGCTTTACTTCTGTTAGAAGATTGTTGCACACATTTACATCATCTGCATACTCCTGTTTTTGTTGGACTCTAATGCCAGCATCAGTTTTTGCTGCTGCTATTTCTGCCTCTTAAAGGCAGTATGCCTCTGTCTAGTTTGCTGATTCTGATACGCTTTGCCCTGGAAAGTAGGTAATCAAGTTTGTGAGGAACTGTGTGTTTAAGGAGTCCATAAATCCTTGTGGGGAGCCCTAGGTGTAAAGTGCACAGCTGTAGGGCAGAGGCCTTTGACATTTATTTTGGATATGCAGTGGCCTTTGCCTATGGGGTTCATGGGTCAGAGCACTGTTGTGACCTTTGAATAAATGGGGTGTTGCGATAATTGTTTCAAGGGAGAAGAGTTATTCTTATATTATCCTTTGTATTGATATTGCTCTTATTTATTACTGAGCTGGATTTAAGTATTAATCATTTAAGGTCAAATTTCTAATGTACGTATGTTCTTCAATGGCTACAACCCAGTTACTATAGCAATTTAGTGAAATAACTATAATGGAACATTTTTTTTGAATTTGGCTTCTCTTTTTTTTTTTCTGTCCACCAGGGAGTAACTATTCCCAGTCAGAGGCGCTATGTGTATTATTATAGCTACCTGTTAAAGAATCACCTGGATTATAGACCAGTGGCACTGTTGTTTCACAAGATGATGTTTGAAACTATTCCAATGTTCAGTGGCGGAACTTGCAGTAAGTGCTCTGAATTCTCATCCTTCCATGTATTGGAACAGTTTTCTTACCATATCTAGAAGTTTATATAAAAATTTAGAAAGAAATTTACCACATTTAAAATTTATGCAGGAGACTGTATTTCTGAAGCATTTGAACAAATTAATTAGCTTTGTTGTTCAACTCATTGGACTAAAGAAGCCAAAAGCAATGGGTTTTAATGTAGTCGAAGCCAAATTATATTTATGAAAGAAATATTCTGTGTTATACACCAAATACAGCGCAATTCTGACCAGATGATGGAAGAACCTGTCCCATCAGAGGTCCAGCATGAGGTCCAGCAGAGGTCCACCAGAGGAGTTCAGCAATTTGCTGGTCTTAGGGCAGGGATCAAGTCCTTAATATCTTAGGGAAACTAGGTATTGACAATAATGGTGACAAAGCAATAAAAAGGAAAGGAAGAAGTGATAAGACATGGCAGCAAGCTGAAGTAAGATTAGTAAAGAATAGGAATCAAAGTATGTGGAGTGTTAGAGAAAACCTGGATTTAGATCTGGATTCCCGTCCTAGATCTGTCATTAATCTATTGTGTAACCCTGGGCACATCATCTACCTCTCTTTGAGTTTGCTTGTCAATAAAATGAAGAGACTTTGAAATCTGAAACTTCTGGATAAGTATGAAGTACAGATTATATCACTGATGTCTGCCTCTAATTTATTTCTCCCTTTTACCCTAATCTCTATAAGTCTACCTCAGTCATCCTGATCCTATTCTACTTCTCCGATCATGTTTGTCAGATAGGTGTGATCATCATCATTAGATCTGTTCTGTATTCTTAGAGACAGATAACTTTATCAAAGACCGGAGTTTATTAGTATAGCATGTTAAATAAAGGCTTCTAAAGAGTCTCATTGATGCTCTTTACATCTCAGTACAGTTTTTAAAACTGCTGAATGCAAGGTACTGGGCTGTTGGAAGTGACTAATAAAGGAATGTAACAGATTCATAGAGAAGGAAAAAGGAAGAAAAAACTCATGCTCTTCCTGTAGTATTGATGTCAGTGTAAGAGCCAAGAGAAAGGCATAAAGTATCATGGAGATATTAAGGGAGAGAAAATATTCACTTTAGTAATCTTTCCTAATTTTCTAGTTTCCTCTTATGTACTATGATTTAATACTGTAGTAAAGCTTTAATAAAAAACTAGCTATATGTAATTAAGTGGGAGGTTGTGGGGCTAGGCATAAGGCTCACACCTGTAACCACAGCACTTTGGGAGGCTGAGGCAGGCAGATCACTTGATCTCAGGAGTTTGAGACCAGCGTGGGCAACAAGGTAAAACCCCATCTCTACTAAAAACACAAAAATTAGCTGGGCATGGTGGCGCGCACCTGTAGTCCCAGCTTCTCGGGAGACTGAGGCAGGAGAATCACTTGAACCTGGGAGGCCAAGGTTGCAGTGAGCTGAGATCATGCCACTGCACTCCATCCTGGGCATTGGAGCAAGACTTTGTCTTAGAAATAAATAAATAAAAATAAAATAAAATAAATGGGAGGTTCTGTGTATCAATTACAAATGCTACATTCAGAAAAGCTTTTGAAGGTTTTCAAACAGTTTCTTAAAGGAGGTTCACCAGCTCTTTATTGAACATTGGAAAAAACATACAGTTTAGATTGGCATTAAAACTGAAAGAAGTGGCCAGACGCAGTGGCTCACACCTGTAATCCCAGCACTTTGGAAGGCCGAGGTGGACAGGTCACCTGAGGTCAGGAGTTCAAGACCAGCCTGGCCAACATGGTGAAACCCCACCTCTACTAAAAATACAAAAATTAGCCAGGCGTGGTGATGCATGCCTGTAGTCCCAGGTACTTGGAAGGCTGAGGCAGGAGAATCGCTTGAAGCCAGAAGTTACAGTGAGCCGAGATTGTGTCATTGCACTCCAGCCAAGGCAATAAGAGTAAGACTCCGCATCAAAAAAAAAAAAGACTCCTGAAAGAAGTATTACAGGCAATGGGAAATAGCTTCAGTTGAAGTGCAGCAGAAGGAAAAAGCTAGACAAGAATGTAGTGACAGATAATAGGTATGGAACGTATGACTGACTGTTAGAGGATCCTGAATGGGGATAACAGACTTGATTTGATAAATACTGAGATGTCATGATAACACTTGAGGATTAAACCATGTTTTTAAGGACAGTTGTATGCAAAGTTATAATCGCAAGAGTAAAACATAGTGGAAAAGAAACCAGTAATAAAACTTGCCTTAATGCAGGTATGCTAAGACAATCAAATGGGATTTCATTAATTTTTTATTTGCCATTTATAGCTAAAGATTTTGTAAAAGTTTTGATCCCAGTCAGGTGAAATAGTCACAGAAAGAAAGAAAAGTGAATCTGAGACTTGAAGACATTAATGTTGATATTTTGGTTTTAAACGTGTTTTAAATCTCGTAAAAGTGAGCTTCTCACATGACAATATTCAGTGGGTACTTGGGAGTATGGGTTCGAATCTAGGTAGGAGATATATCGATATTTTGGGCAGCGTCAGGAAAGGGAGAGTAGTTAAGCCTTTCATATAAATACGGTCTGGAGTTTGGGGATGGGAAGGCTCGGAGGAAAGGAAGAAAAGGAGAGGGTGAGGACTGTGATAAGAATGGCAGCTTGGGTTTAGGAAGAAGAGGAATCAATAAAGAAAACAGAGGTAGTGCTGAAAAATACAGCATCTTCTGTAGGGATTTGCAGCTTTTTCTTACTTGATTTTTGTCTTAGTATTTCCAAGTGATAGAAAAAGTTACTATACTCTAGACATTTAACAGGGTTAAAAATGTTACTGAAAGATGATCAGTGTGGTTTTCTTTCAAGACTATAACAATATGTATATATCTAAGGAAATTTAATTCTGACTTTAAAAAATTGTTTTACTTGTATAAATTTAGGGATACAAGTGTAATTTTGTTACGTGTATAGATTGTGTAGTGGTCAAGTCAGGGCTTTTAGGGTGTCCATCATCTGAATAATATACATTGTACCCATTAAGTAATTTCTCATTATCTCCTCTCCCTTTCAAGTCTCCACTATCTCCCATTCTCTGCATTCTGATTTTCATTTGCTAGGTGTATTAGGTTGTTTTTGCGTTGCTATAAAGAAATACTAGAGACTGAGTATTAAACAGGTTTAACCTGTTTTCTTTATAAATTCTTCTTTAATTGGTTCATGGTTCTGCACACTATACAGAAAGCATAGCAGCATCTGCTTCTGGGGAGGCCTCAACAAGCCTCCAATCATGGCTGAAGGCAAAAGGGGAGCATGGTGAGAATGGGAGCAAGAAAGAGAAGGAGTGGTGGGGAGAAGGTGCCACCCACTTTTAAATGCCAGCTCACTTATCACGAAGAGGATGGCCCAAGCCATTCATGTGGGATCTGTCCCCATGATTCAAGCACCTTCCACCAGGCCCCACCTCTAGCATTGGGGATTACAATTCAACCTCAGATTTGGGAGGGAAAGATATCCAGACTATATCACTAGGTCTGGATCTTGTTATTTATTTTTTGGAACATACTCAGTCATATACGAGGATATATATTGTAGAAGTCCACAGAACCATACTAATATTGGACTTCTGCTTGGTTAGGTCTTATCTATCTGAAACATGATATTCATATTGCAGAGAAGATTATTTTCTTTAGTGATTGAGGAAATCTTTACTACTTATAGATTTTTATATAATACTAAAATATTTGAAGATGTACATTTTGGATGTAGTTTAATTGAAACCTGGAAGTACTATTAATTTGCTTTTGAAAGTCCTAAAATCAGGGTTATCAGATTCTGAATTAATGGAGTTTAAAAAGATTACAAGGCAGTTTTGCAATTTTATTCTGATTAATTTTATCACAGCTTTGGAATCCTACTTTGTTTATTTGCTTCTTCAAGTTAGATTTCCCAGCGAAATTTCAGTATCACATAAAGTCTTATGAAATGGCCCATTGCACTTTGAACTTTGAGGGAAGGAAGTGAAATTTATTGATAGATTGTTGGTGTAATATTTCTCCTGTTTGTGGTAGCTTTTTCAAATAATGTATCTTAGAAGACCATGTTAGAATAACCTGCATGCTTTTATCAAACATATTATGTGATTGCTGATAGTGCTTTAAATATTACATAGAAATAGTAGTAGGTGTTTACTAAACTGGAAATTTCGTATAACTTGGTTTAGCTTTTGCCTTGTTCTCAGTGACATTGATAAAAATGTAAGACTTTTGTTTATCTTTTAGAATAATGACACCTTTTGGTGCTGAAAATTTTTTGTTTGTTATATATATACACATAGTATATATATAAAATATATGTAAATATATTTCTCATAACTTTATGTAAGCTTGTGTTTCTCTTTCTCTGTAATCTTTGCATGTTTTCTTCAAATGGCACTTCATAACCTCCTAAGGTTAATAAATTTCTTTATAATGGACTTTTGTTTTCTAATTCCTCAACGTATGACAAATGAATTATATATACTTTGTCAAATTATTTAGGTAACTTTAAGTTTTTGATGTCCTGGGATCATAACATTCATCAGTCTTTAATTTCTGTCATTAAGGTCATTAGCTATAAATGAATTTATGAGTAGATTTAAAAAATAAAACATATAGGCTGGGCGCAGTGGCTCAAGCCTGTAATCCCAGCACTTTGGGAGGCCGAGACGGGTGGATCACGAGGTCAGGAGATCGAGACCATCCTGGCTAACACGGTGAAACCCCGTCTCTACTAAGAAATACAAAAAACTAGCCGGGCGAGGTGGTGGGCGCCTGTAGTCCCAGCTACTCGGGAGGCTGAGGCCGGAGAATGGCGTGAACCCGGGAGGCGGAGCTTGCAGTGAGCTGAGATCCTGCCACTGCACTCCAGCCTGGGCTACAGAGCGAGACTCCGTCTCAAAAATATATATATATATAATCCTTCCCTTAACACACTTTCCCACCATTTGGTTGAATTGCTAGTGTAAAAGCATGATGAATTTTGAGAAGTTATATTTTACCAGTTACTTTATTTTTTTATTTATTTATTTTTTTGAGACAGAGTCTTGCTCAGTCGCCCAGGCTGGAGTGCAGTGGCGCCATCTCAGCTCACTGCAAGCTCCGCCTCCTGGGTTCACTCCATTCTTCTGCCTCAGCCTCCCGAGTAGCTGGGACTACAGGCGCCCGCCGCCACGCCTGGCTAATTTTTTGCATTTTTAGTAGAGACGGGGTTTCACCGTGTTAGCCAGGATCGTTTCAATCTCCTGACCTCATGATCCGCCCGCCTCGGCCTCCCAAAGTGCTGGGATTACAGGCGTAAGCCACTGCGCCCGGCCAGTTAACTTTATTTTTTACCAGTTATTTAAAACAGACATGGGCCAAAATCAGAATACTTGTTAATGAAAATGAGATGTTTTGGAGGAAAGGGAGGTTGTGCTGCAGTTTTTACTTGAACTCTGTTGCATTTCTTTACAGAAATTTCAAATCTTTTGTTTCCTGTTTATGATGGTAGCATTATATATCTTTAAAATGTGATCTATAGGTAAAATGAATGATGGTTAAATTTTTAAATAAATATTTAGACTTGTGTTTTTGAAATTTATTATAACATTGTTATAGGTTTTATCCTCTTTCTCTTGTGAACATGTAATGATTTATATTTTGTGATCTTTGCCACATGCTAGAGACTTCAGAATACTATAGCAAATATCTGTCTTCTTTATGTTTTAAAATTTTTCCTGACCACTGCCTGTTGATACCTGTCTTAAAAGTTATTTTGATGTTGTTCACAAATGTACCAGATAATTATTTCATCGTTTTTAATGCTTAAAGTTTTTATTTATATTAGGATTTTTAGTATGATTTTAATGTTAAAGTTTTGAAGTTATTCTGCCGCTAAAAGTCTCATCTTGGGACTTACTATTCAGGAAACAGAAATTGACTTTTATACAAGTAATAGGACCTTATTTTGAAAGTTCAAACTGGAGAAAATCTTACATTTTTTCTATTTCTATTTCATTTATTTCCATTGATTTGCTTTAGATCAAGATTGCAGATGCGGAATCCATATTTTGTGAATATTGCTGATATTAATCATTAAAATCACTTTTGACAGTTTGACAGTTAAAGGCATTTCCTGTGAAATGATACTAGTATGTATTTAACCATGCAGATCCTCAGTTTGTGGTCTGCCAGCTAAAGGTGAAGATATATTCCTCCAATTCAGGCCCCACACGACGGGAAGACAAGTTCATGTACTTTGAGTTCCCTCAGCCGTTACCTGTGTGTGGTGATATCAAAGTAGAGTTCTTCCACAAACAGAACAAGATGCTAAAAAAGGTTTGTACTTTACTTTTATTGGGAGAAATATCCAAAATACGGACAGATTAAAAGCTATATTTTATTTTATGACATGTAAGGAACTATAATTTGTTTTCTATTAGATATGCAGGTGTTTTGCTTACTCTGGCATTGGTGAGACACTATAAGGGTAAATAATCCTATTTGAAGGAAAAGGCCTTACAGCATTGGAACATGAGAGGAATTTTCCTTAACAAGGATGGTTAACTGAGAAGAAATTAGCATGGGACCAAGATTTTAAAAATTTTGGTCTATAGTAGAAATGAGATCTGTTCTGTGGTCTTACATAGTGACACAAACCACTTTTTCGTCATTTTGGCTTACGTTTCTTTTTCTTTCCCCTTTTTTTTTTCCTTTTTGTTAGAGAGAGGGTCTCGTTCTATTGCCCAGGCTGAGTAGCTAAGACTACAAGCATGTGCCACCACACCCAGCTAATTTTTTTATTTTTTTATTTTTAGGGAAAGGGTCTCACTGTGTTGCCCAGTCTGGTCTCAAACTCCTGGGCACAAGCAGTCCTCATGCTTCGGCATCCCAAAGTGTTGGAATTATAGGAGTGAGCCATCATGCCTGACCTTATATTTCTTAAGACTTGATTATTTTCTGTTTAGCTTCTGTGGATTTACTGATTAGTTTTTTAACTAGGAGAGAAATCAGTATGAAGAGGAAGTAATAAAGAATGAAAGCATGGTATTGAAATGTGCAGGTTTAGAAAGTTAATCAAGTTGGAATTTGATTGGCCTGTATTTAGAGAAGGCAACGACTTAGTTTAAAACCAACTACTGGCCCAGCGCGGTGGCTCACACCTGTAATTCCAGCACTTTGGGAGGCTGAGGCAGGCAGATCACCTGAGGTCAGGTGTTCGAGACCAGCCTGGTCAACATAGTAAAACCCCGTCTCTACTAAAAATACAAAAAAATTAGCCGGGTATGGTGGCAGGTGCCTGTTATCCCAGCTACTCAGGAGGATTGAGGCGGGAGAATTGCTTGAACCCAAGAGGTGGAGGTTGCATGAGCCAAGAATGCACTGTTGCACTCCAGCCTGGGCAACAAGAGTGAAACTCTGTCTCAAAGAAAAAGGAAAAAAAAAAACCAAAAACCAACTGTCTTCATTTAAAATATTAAATGTGTATATTTAAAGTGAGACTAAGGTGCAACATTTTTAGATAGTAATGAAGAAAAGCAGTAAATTTGTATTGTTGCTGCCTTGTTAAACATACTAGATAGCATATTGCTAATCTTTAAACATTCTCAATAATAGGATATATTTAGTTGTTCTGATTTTTAGCTTTTCTTTTGAAAGAAAATAAGAGGAAGTTTCATTTACTGCACAATTTTAAATGCTGCTTTGACGTATCAGAAGAAATATAATTTCCTTTATCCAGAATCCAAGTAGCTGGAAAAAAAAATCAAAATGTACTGAACATCTTTTCTTAAACCAGAAACCCATTTCCTATCATCTGTACAAGTAAAAGTTAAATATATCTCAGTAACTTTGAAAAATTATTTTTTGATAATCCAGGAAGTATTAACAACTGTTTTAAAATTAAGATAACTAGTAATTTTTATTTTGCTTTCAAAAATAGGCACCTACATCATCATCTCTGCATACCTTTAGGAATTTACTAATTCTTATTTCCCTTCATCTGTACTTTAACACATGCAAAATTGAAGGTTAATATCTTATGATTTACTTGTTTATCCTTGACTACACAAATTTCCATTTTATTGATTTTCCCTGCCTTATTTAAGAATATGCTGTGATTAAAACAGACAAAAAGTTTAGTATAATCCATATATATATATGGAATTCACCTTTTTGTTATTTAAATATTATTAGCTTATTTTCTTCTAATTCTAAGTAAAATACAGTTACTGGCTGAAATAATTGAAATAAGCAAAAAAAATTTAAAGACTTGTAAACAAAGTTACTTTGTCAGGTACTGCTAAAAGATGCAATAAAATTTAAGACATAATATCCTTAAAGATCTTATTTTCTAGGGGGAAAAAAACTTTTAAGGTAAATTAGAATAAAAGATTTAAATGGCATTTTAAGGTACCAATAAGATGACACAAGGCTGTACATCATTAATTGCCAAATTATTTATGCAGGCCAGATTTCTGTGTTGGTCAATAGAGGTTTAAAGTGATGAACTTCTGTTGTGGTTTTTTATTAAGAAAGTATTATCTTATTAGAAGTGATTTTTTTAAGAACAAGCATTTTATAACATCAAAAGAAATCAGTAGTACTCTTCCCTATCCCCTCATATTTATTCTGAAAGTATTGAAGCATTATATTGTCATGTAAGAAAGTAGAGCTTCTCATGTTTGTATTGCTGTAGAAGTAAACATGTATTTGTGGTGTGTCATCAGGGAAGTTACACTCTCCTTCTAAGAACTTTTGTTAAAGTAAATCTTGGAATAGGTAGCTCATTTGAAAAGTAGAAGAAATTAAGTCCATCTCTGAATTTTGTTTTTATATGTATGTACACATAAACTAAAAACATATTTAAAGCTAGTATTAGACTAGAAAAGAGGTTTTTTTACTTAAAAATTTAAGACAAAAGTAATTTATCTTAGATCTTGTGAGATTGTAGTTTTGGTTTAAAATTTGAGTGCCGAAAAATCATGTGAATGAAAATGCAACAGATAACTCAGATTGCCTTATAATAGTCTTTGTGTTTACCTTTATTCAAAATATCAAATGATAGTTTATTTTGTTGACATTTTGGCAAATGTTTAACGCAGGTGACATATTTTCTTTTTTAAAAAAATAAAACATCATTAATTAAAATATGTCATTTCATTTCTTTTTTTTTTTTTTTTTTTTAGGACAAAATGTTTCACTTTTGGGTAAATACATTCTTCATACCAGGACCAGAGGAAACCTCAGAAAAAGTAGAAAATGGAAGTCTATGTGATCAAGAAATTGATAGCATTTGCAGTATAGAGCGTGCAGATAATGACAAGGAATATCTAGTACTTACTTTAACAAAAAATGATCTTGACAAAGCAAATAAAGACAAAGCCAACCGATACTTTTCTCCAAATTTTAAGGTCAGTTAAATTAAACATTTTGTGGGGGTTGGTGACTTGTATGTGTGTGATGTGTGTTTAATTCTAGGAGTACAGCTGATGAAGAACTTGCTTGACAAGTTTTTAAATTATGTATTATTTAGAAGCTGTGTTTACATAGCAGTAACATGAAAGTTTCTAATAAAATACCCAATGTACATGGAGTTAAAAAAGCTGCAGTTTTCCTTTTCCCAATTCTTTGTTGTTGTTTGGTAAAATCTGGTGCAAAGGTGCGGGAGGGGGCTAAATGACTGGGATATGAAGTAGGAATGGGAGAGGAAAGAAATGGATGGAAACTCAGTCATTTGGGAATGATTGATATGGAATGTTTTTACTGCTTCCACTCCTGTCTCCCTTCCAATTTATTCTCAACCCCTCAGAGTGATCTTAAAAATAGACTTGATTGTGTCACTTCTGTTTACACTTTATAAAGACCTTGTGTTTTTTTTTTTTTTACCATGACCTGCAAGGACCATCATAATTTAGCACAGGCCTACCTCCTACATCAGCACTAATCACCTTCTCTCTTTGCTTCTTGAGATTCAGTCATACTGGTCTCTTTTCAGTTCTTCAAAATGCTAAGCTTCTGCTTCTAGTCGTTCCAGTTCTTTTCCTTCTCCCGGTACCTTTTCATCTCAGCCTTTTCCCCCGACCTTCTCATAGCTATCTTCATATTTCCAGCCTTAGCTTCAATCTCATATTCTCTGAAGGTCTCTGATTGTCCTCCTGTTATTCTTTTTTTAAAAAATCCTATTTCCTTATATTGTGTCTTACAATTATTTGGTTTGTTTCATTTTTGTGTATATATGATATATGTATTTATACATAGGTATATATATCTACTTATAGACAATAATTGTTCAGATTTAAAAAATCTGATTTGTAAACATTCCCAAATGGTTTGCCTTTTTTTTCTTCCCCTTTCCTATTTCTTGTTCTACCTGATTTTCCCCTGTTCATTCACCACACTCTTTTCTTTCTCTTTTTTACTCTCTCTTAATTTGTCATTCAATTTTTATAACATGTAACAAATCTAACTGTAGCTTCTGAGTTTTTAAGAATATTGCTAGTAATACTTCACCTGTAATCCCAGCACTTTGGGAGGCTAAGGCAGGCAGAGCACTTGAGGCTAGGAGTTTAAGACCAGCCAGGCCAATATGGCGAAACCCTGTCTGCACTAAAAATACAAAAATTAGCTGGGCGTGGTGTCACACACCTGTAATCCCAGCACTTGGGAGGCTGAGGCACAAGAATTGCTTGAGCCTGGGAGGTGGAGGTTGCAGTGAGCCGAGATCACACCAGTGCACATGCACTTCAGTGACACGACAAGACTCTCTCTTAATAAAAAAGAAAAGAAAGAAAGAAATATATATATATGTTTGTATATTGGTAGTAATAGTAATACTTAAAAAAAGGTAAAGGGGCCCCTACATGTTTTAAGTGAAAATAGATCTAACGTTAAATGCCTTTAGCTCTTAAATTTTTTTAAGTGTTTAGAAATTTCCCTTTTTAAAAAATTTTAATATATAATAATTGTACATATTTATGGGATACAGAGTGATATTTTCATGTATGCAGTGTGTGATGATCAAATCAGGATAAGAGCATATGAATCACCTTAAACATTTGTCATTTGTTTGTGTTGGGAACATTTAAACTTCTATCTTCTAGCTATTTGAAAATATACGGTAAATTATTGTTGACTAGTTAGAGTTCTATAGAATGCTATAATTTATTCCTCCTGTCTGTAATTTTTTGTCTTTTAACCAACATCTGCCTATCCTCCCCTACCCCTCCCTTTCCCAGCCTCTAATAACCACACTCCTATGAGCTCAACTTTTTTAGCTCCCATATATGAGTGAAAACATACAGTATTTATCTTTCTGTACCTGACTTATTTTACTTGACATCATGTCCTCCGGGCTAGACATTCTCTTTAGAATCCACAGGTTTCCTTTCTTTTCTCTAAATCTGCATTTTGCTCAACCATTAACTTTTAAAATGTCTTTTTCCCTTTAGTTTTATTGTTTTCTGTTTCAATATTGCAAGACGTTTTATATTTGTGACTACAAATAAAAACTCTCCGTTATTAGTAAATAAATACAATGTCATATAGTGGTAAGTGCTATAAAAAATAGAGACAGGATAGAGAGTAATCTTGGTTTGTGTGTTTTTTGTTTTTTAGCTAGGATGATTAGAGAAGGCCCAACCAAGCAAATAACATTTAAGCAGAGGCCTAAATCATGAGTGAGTTATACAGATATCTGGGAAAAGAGGGAAGAGTAGAGATGCAGAAGCCCTTAGACAAGAATGAGCTTGGTATATTTGAAGAGTGGATACGTCATTTTGACTAAAACAGAGTGGACGAGAAAACCAGTCCAAGTGTAAAGATACTAGTATGTGTTCAGCATAGGAAGGATGTAATCTGAATTTTGTGTTTAATATTCCCTGTGTTAATGCTTTCAAAACATAGACGAGTGAGGCAAGTAGGGAGAAGGGGTAATAATGGAAGCTGGGAGATTGGTTAAGAGGCACTTGACCATCCTGGCTAACACGGTGAAACCCCATCTCTACTAAAAATACAAAAAATTAGCCAGGCATGGTGGCGGGCACCTGTAGTCCCAGCTACTCGGGAGGCTGAGGCAGGAGAATGGCGTGAACCTGGCGGAGCTTGCAGTGAGCCGAGATCGCACCACTGCACTCCGGCTTGGGCGACAGAGCGAGAGTCCGTCTCAAAAAAAAAAAAAAAAAAAAAAAAAGGCATTTGAATAGTTTAGTAAAGGTGAGAGATGTTTGCTTCTTGTTGCCCCTCACTGCATAGAGTAGTGGCAGTGAAGGGTAACAAGAAGCTGTCAGATTAACTTAAAGAGTTTACTGATGCAGTGGATGTTGGTTGTAAGAGAAGAATTGGTAATGACTCTTAGATAATAGGGGAGGGGCTGTCAATATAATATAATGAAGAAGGGATTTGAAGTCAGATCTGATTTAAATCTCACATCCACTACCTACTGTTAATAGTTATGTAGCCTTTAACAAGTTCCCTAACCTTTCTGGGCGGTAGCTACCTCCCCTTGGAAATGGAAATACCTAACATGTAGGGTTGTTTTGACAGTTATTTTCACTAGGCATGTAAAGGCCCTTGGCTCTCTGTTTAGACCACTGTATTATGTTTATATCTCTCTCCTTCCTCCCTTTAGGTAAAGTTTTTAGGGCAATAAATCCCAGTATCAATGTTGATCAGTAGTTTGTGTCTGTGTAGTGTTGTTTATATCAAAAACTACATTGAAGCCGGGCACAGTGGCTAACGCCTAAAATCCCAACCTTTGGGAGGCCAAGGTGGGCAGATCACCTGAACTAAGGAGTTTGAGACCAGCCTGGGCAACATGGTGAAATCCTGTCTCTACAAAAAATATAAAAGCTAGCTAGGTGTGGTGGCATGCACCTGTAGTCCCAGCTACTTGGGAGGCTGAGGTGGGAGGATCACTTGATCCTGGGAGTTTGAGCCTGCAGTGAGCTGTGAAGATGCCACTGCACCCTAGTCTGGGTGACAGAGCAAGACCCTGTCTCAAAAAAAAAAAAAAAACCAGAAAGAAATACATTGATTTTTCTCATAGGTATTAAGAGAAACATTCTTTTTGAACTCAGTCATTTGTGAATTGAATTTTATAATGCAAAGGCTATATTATGTAAACTATTGATGACTTTCAATCTGCATTTGTTTTATAGAATTGTTTAGTTAATGTTTGCAGCTTATATTAAAAAATAAAATTGAGGTTGGGCGTGGTGGCTCACACCTGTAATCCCAGCACTTTGGGAGGCTGAGGTAGGTAGACTGCCTGAGCTCAGGAGTTTGAGATCAGCCTGGACAACATGATGAAACCCCATTTCTACTACAATACAAAAAATTAGCTGGGTGTGGTGGTGTGCACCTGTAGCCCAGCTGTTCGGAATGCTAAGGCATGAGAATTGCTTGAACCTGGGAGGCAGAGGTTGCAGTGAGCTGAGATCATGCCACTGCACTCCAGCCTGGCAACAGAGCAAGACTGTCTCCAGAAATAAAAATAAATAAATTGTATTAACATCCTGATAGTTTATCTGTTCAGTACCTAGCAAGAAAGAAAATGTTGAACATCTTAATAAGAAGAGGGTCATTTAAAAGACCTCTTCAAGATCATGTTTGTTATAGTGCTGTTCATCTGCAAAATGGAATAAAAAAATTAATCTGTTAAAATATATTTCACTAAATAGTTTAAGATGAGTCATATTTGTGGGTTTTCATTTTAAATTTTCTTTCTCTAGGTGAAGCTGTACTTCACAAAAACAGTAGAGGAGCCGTCAAATCCAGAGGCTAGCAGTTCAACTTCTGTAACACCAGATGTTAGTGACAATGAACCTGATCATTATAGATATTCTGACACCACTGACTCTGATCCAGAGAATGAACCTTTTGATGAAGATCAGCATACACAAATTACAAAAGTCTGAATTTTTTTTTTATCAAGAGGGATAAAATACCATGAAAACAAACTTGAATAAACTGAAAATGGACCTTTTTTTTTTTAATGGCAATAGGACATTGTGTCAGATTACCAGTTATAGGAACAATTCTCTTTTCCTGACCAATCTTGTTTTACCCTATACATCCACAGGGTTTTGACACTTGTTGTCCAGTTGAAAAAAGGTTGTGTAGCTGTGTCATGTATATACCTTTTTGTGTCAAAAGGACATTTAAAATTCAATTAGGATTAATAAAGATGGCACTTTCCAATTTTATTCCAGTTTTATAAAAAGTGGAGACAGACTGATGTGTATACGTAGGAATTTTTTCCTTTTGTGTTCTGTCACCAACTGAAGTGGCTAAATACTGGTTCACATCCTACCCCTTTGCACTTGTGGCAACAGATAAGTTTGCAGTTGGCTAAGAGAAGTTTCCGAAGGGTTTTACTACATTCTAATGCATGTATTCGGGTTAGGGGAATGGAGGGAATGCTCAGAAAGGAAATACATTTTATGCTGGACTCTGGACCATATACCATCTCCAGCTATTTACACACACCTTTCTTTAGCATGCTACAGTTATTAATCTGGACATTCGAGGAATTGGCCGCTGTCACTGCTTGTTGTTTGCGCATTTTTTTTTAAAGCATATTGGTGCTAGAAAAGGCAGCTAAAGGAAGTGAATCTGTATTGGGGTACAGGAATGAACCTTCTGCAACATCTTAAGATCCACAAATGAAGGGATATAAAAATAATGTCATAGATAAGAAACACAGCAACAATGACTTAACCATATAAATGTGGAGGCTATCAACAAAGAATGGGCTTGAAACATTATAAAAATTGACAATGATTTATTAAATATGTTTTCTCAATTGTAACGACTTCTCCATCTCCTGTGTAATCAAGGCCAGTGCTAAAAGTCAGATGCTATTAGTACCTACATCAGTCAACAACTTACACTTATTTTATTAGTTTTCAATCATATACCTGCTGTGGATGCTTCATGTGCTGCCTGCAAGCTTCTTTTTTCTCATTAAATATAAAATATTTTGTAATGCTGCACAGAAATTTTCAATTTGAGATTCTACAGTAAGCGTTTTTTTTCTTTGAAGATTTATGATGCACTTATTCAATAGCTGTCAGCTGTTCCACCATTTTGACCTTACACATTCTATTACAATGAGTTTTGCAGTTTTGCACATTTTTTAAATATCATTAACTGTTAGGGAATTTTACTTGAATACTGAATACATATAATGTTTATATAAAAAAGGACATTTGTGTTAAAAAGGAAATTAGAGTTGCAGTAAACTTTCAACGCTGCACAAAAAAAAAAGGACATTTGATTTTTCAGTAGAAATTGTCCTACATGTGCTTTATTGATTTGCTATTGAAAGAATAGGGTGTTTTTTGTTTTTGTTTTTGTTTTTGTTTTTTAAATGTGCAGTGTTGAATCATTTCTTCATAGTGCTACCCCGAGTTGGGACTAGGGCTTCAATTTCACTTCTTAAAAAAATTTCATCATATATTTGATATGCCCAGACTGCATACGATTTTAAGCGGAGTACAACTACTATTGTAAAGCTAATGTGAGGATACTATTTAAAAAGGATTTTTTTTTCCAGAAATTTGGTGTCTTCAAATTATACCTTCACCTTGACGTTTGAATATCCAGCCATTATATTTCTTAATGGTATAAAATTCCATTTTCAATAACTTATTGGTGCTGAAATTGTTCACTAGCTGTGGTCTGACCTAGTTAATTTACAAATACAGATTGAATAGGACCTACTAGAGCAGCATTCATAGAGTTTGATGGCAAATAGATTAGGCAGAACTTCATCTAAAATATTCTTAGTAAATAATGTTGACATGTTTTCCATACCTTGTCAGTTTCATTCAACAATTTTTAAATTTTTAACAAAGCTCTTAAGATTTACACATTTATATTTAAACATCGATGAGTATTGATTGATTACTCCTAAGTTAAATTGGTAAAGTTAGAGACAACTATTCCTAACACCTCACCATTGAAATTTATATGCCACCTTGTCTTTCATAAAAGCTGAAAATTGTTACCTAAAATGAAAATCAACTTCATGTTTTGAAGATAGTTATAAATATTATTCTTTGTTACAATTTTGGGCACCGCATATTAAAACATTTATTGTTCCAGTATGTAACATGGAGGGCCAGGTCATAAATAATGACATTATAATGGGCTTTTGCACTGTTACTATTTTTCCTTTGGAATGTGAAGGTCTGAATGAGGGTTTTGATTTTGAATGTTTCAATGTTTTTGAGAAGCCTTGCTTACATTTTATGGTGTAGTCATTGGAAATGGAAAAATGGCATTATATATATTATATATATAAATATATATTATACATACTCTCCTTACTTTATTTCAGTTACCATCCCCATAGAATTTGACAAGAATTGCTATGACTGAAAGGTTTTCGAGTCCTAATTAAACCTTTATTTATGGCAGTATTCATAATTAGCCTGAAATGCATTCTGTAGGTAATCTCTGAGTTTCTGGAATGTTTTCTTAGACTTTTTGGATGTGCAGCAGCTTACATGTCTGAAGTTACTTGAAGGCATCACTTTTAAGAAAGCTTACAATTGGGCCCTGTACCATCCCAAGTCCTTTGTAGCTCCTCTTGAACATGTTTGCCATACTTTTAAAAGGGTAGTTGAATAAATAGCGTCACCATTCTTTGCTGTGGCACAGGTTATAAACTTAAGTGGAGTTTACCGGCAGCATCAAATGTTTCAGCTTTAAAAAATTAGGGTACAAGTTTAATGTTTAGTTATAGAAATTTTGTGCAATATGTTCATAACGATGGCTGTGGTTGCCACAAAGTGCCTCGTTTACCTTTAAATACTGTTAATGTGTCATGCATGCAGATGGAAGGGGTGGAACTGTGCACTAAAGTGGGGGCTTTAACTGTAGTGTTTGGCAGAGTTGCCTTCTACCTGCCAGTTCAAAAGTTCAACCTGTTTTCCTATAGAATATATATACTAAAAAATTTCAGTCTGTTAAACAGCCTTACTCAATTCAGCCTCTTCAGATACTCTTGTGCTGTGCAGCAGTGGCTCTGTGTGTAAATGCTATGCACTGAGGATACACAAAAATACCAATATGATGTGTACAGGATAATGCCTCATCCCAATCAGATGTCCATTTGTTATTGTGTTTGTTAACAACCCTTTATCTCTTAGTGTTATAAACTCCACTTAAAACTGATTAAAGTCTCATTCTTGTCATTGTGTGGGTGTTTTATTAAATGAGAGTTTATAATTCAAATTGCTTAAATCCATTGAAGTTTTAATTAATGGGCAGCCAAATGTGAATAAAAAGCTTTCAGTTTTTTTTTTCCTGCTGTCCTTCAAAGCCTACTGTTAAAAAAAAAAAAAAAAAAAAAAAAAAATGACCTGGGAGTAGAGTATCTGTCTACTCATGTTTAATTAAGAAAAACACTTATTTTTAGGGCTTTAGTCATCATTTCATAAATTGTATAAACACATTAAATAGCATTCTAGTCCTGAAAAAGTTCAAGATTCTTGGAAAATTGTGCATATTTTTACTAGGCCAGATGTTTGAAGATAATTCCCCAGAATGGATTTGATACTTTAGATTTCAATTTTGTGGCTTTTCTCTATTATTCTGTACTCTGCCATCAGCATATGGAAAGCTTCATCTACTCATCATGACTTGTGCCATATAAAAATTGATATTTTGGAATATTCTAAAGGACTTTTTGTACTTGAATTTAATCATGTTGTTTCTAATATTCTTAAAAGCTTGAAGACTAAAGCATATCCTTTCAACAAAGCATAGTAAGGTAATAAGAAAGTGTAGTTTGTACAAATGTTTAAAAAATAAAGTAGACAATGTTACAGTGGGAATTATTTCAAGTTTACATTTTCTCCATGTAATTTTTTAAAAAGTAAATGAAAAGTGCAATAATGTAAAATATGAAGTGTATGTGTACACACATTTTATTTTTAGGTATCTTAGGTATATGTATGGCTGAAAACTATACTGGAGTCTAAAAGTATTCTAATTTATAAGAAGATATTTTGGTGATGTTTGAAAAATAGAAATGTGCTAGTTTTGTTTTTATATCATGTCCTTAGTATGTTGTAATATGAGCTGGCTTGGTTCAGTAAATGCCATCACCATTTCCATTGAGAATTTAAAACTCACCAGTGTTTAATATGCAGGCTTCCAAAGGCTTATGAAAGAAATCAAGACCCTTAAATCTAGTTAATTTGCTGCTAACATAAAACTCTTTTGTTTCTTTTATTTTTGCCAGATAATTAGACACACATCTAAAGCTTAGTTTTAAATGGCTTAAGTGTAGCTATTGATTAGTGCTGTTGCTAGTGCAGAAAGAAATGTTTGTGAATGGAAACAGGAATATTTAGCCCAAACTGTTGTAAGGACAGTACCTGAAAACCAGGAAACAGGAAAATGGAAAAAATCTTTTAAAGATGAAATGTTGGAACCAACTTTCTTATAGAATTAATTATATGTGGCTATAGAAAGCCTAATGATTGTTGCTTATTTTTGAGAGCAAATTATTCTTTTATGACCATAATCTTGCTATTTTTCCATCTTCCAAAAGATCTTCCTTCTAATACGTGTATCAGAACATGGGTAGCCAGTCAGAGAAATTCATATTGGTTGGTAGCTTTAAAAAGTTTGTAATGTGAAGACAGGAAAGGACAAAATAGTTTGCTTTGGTGGTAGTACTCTGGTTCTTAAGCTAGATATTTTGAGACTACTTCCCCATCAAAACAACCGTAAGTAGTCACTCGTAATCCTACCACCTGGAGACATAGCCATTATTAATATGTTAGTGACTATACAATCATGTTTTTTTCTGTATATTCATGTATGTTTTTTAAAAATGAAATTTATACCGTACCTGATCTCAAAGCCTTTTAGCTTAGTATATCTGTCATGAATTTGTAGGATGTTCCATTGCATCAGAAAACGGACAGTGATTTGATTACTTTCTAATGCCACAGATGCAGATTACATGTAGTTATTGAGAATCTTTTCGAATTCAGTGGGTTAATCATGAATGTCTAAATATTGTTGACATTTGGATGATACATGTAAATTAAAGTTACATTTGTTTAGCATAGACAAGCTTAACATTGTAGATATTTCTCTTCAAAAATCATCTTAAACATTTGCATTTGGAATTATGTGTTAAATAGAATGTGTGAAACACTGTATTAGTAAACCATCACCTTTCTACTTCCTTATAGTTTGAACTTTTCAGTTTTTATAGTTCCCAAACAGTTGCTCAATTTACAGCAAATTAATTTAACATCTGCCAAAAAAAGGCTACTGTTGGCTTATCAATTATCTTTAAATTTAAATGCTCATGTGACTTATCACATCAAAAAATGTTTCATTAATGGTTCACCTTTAGCTCTGAAAAGTGCCGTGTTTAGTAATTATAATGGGCTTATAAAAACATGCAACTCTTTTTGACAGTTATTTGAGAATTTTAGTGAAAAATATTTACTTGAGGGCAGTATATAACTTATAAACCAATATATTGATATTTTTAAAACATTTTTACATATAAGTAAACTGCCATCTTTGAGCATAACTACATTTAAAAATAAAACTGCATATTTTTAAATCAAGTGTTTAACAAGAATTTATATTTTTTATTTTTTTAAATTAAAAATAATTTATATTTCCTCTGTTGCATGTGGATTCTCATCTGTCCTTATAATGGTTAGAGATTTTATTTGTGTGGAATGGAGCAAGGCTTGTAGTCATGGTTCTACTGTTTCAGTTTGCCAAGTCTGTTTACTGCAGTGAAATTCATCAAACGTTTAAGTGTGGTTTTCTGTAGCCTATCATTTATTGGCTATTTTTTTATGTACAGCTTTAGGATTTTCTGCCTACTCTATCCAGTTGTCCAAATGATATCCTACATTTTACAAATTCCCTTTCAGTTTCTATTTTCTTTTTCCATTAAATTGCCCTCATGTCCTAATGTGCAGTTTGTAAATGTGTGTGTGTGTGTGTGTGTGTGTGTGTGTGTATTTGATTTTCAAGAGTGCTAGATTTCCAATTTGAGAGATTAAATAATTTAATTCAGGCAAACATTTTTCATTGGAATATCACAGTTCATTGTAATGAAAATGTTAATCCTGGCTGACCTTTGACATACAGTAATGAATCTTGGGTATTAATGATTTGTTAGTAGCATCTTGATGTGTGCTTTAATGAGTTATTTTCAAAGTTGTGCATTAAACCAAAGTTGGCATACTGGAAGTGTTTATATCAAGTTCCATTTGGTTACTGATGGACAAAAAATAGAAATGCCTTCCTATGGAGAGTATTTTTCCTTTAAAAAATTAAAAAGGTTAATTATTTTGACTATTCGGTTTTAAACTTTTTATTCATCCAACAAATATCAAGTCCCTGATGTACATATGGGTTTGGAATACGTTAGTGATCAAAATAGACACACTCTATCCCTGCCCTTGAAGAGTTTACACCCCAGTAGAGGAAACAGAATTTACATTAATAATTATAAGTTGTGATACATGCTGTGGAAAGTGAGGTGCATGTAAAAATGGTTATCAAACATTATGCTCCCCAAAATTTCCATCCCCTTGCAGTTGAATGAGGCCTGTGTAACTAGTTTATTCTAATGTAATGCAGAAAGTAGTGTGACACTCCACTTTCTGTAAAGGCAATGAAAAAAATTTACCGTTCAGTTTCTCTCTTCCCCTACTGCTGTGATTAAGGATTTTGCATGTTCTAGATGGTACAGCTTTGTCAGCCCGGGTTTTGAGTGATACTGGAGCAGAACTCCCTCAAATTCTCCCTCTGCCACACTAAACTTGTTAGATATTAGCATGAATAAAAAACCATTTAGACTGATGCTTTGGGACAATTTTTTTTTATCACAGTGTAAGTTATATCCTGACTAAAACAGTGCTTTGGAAAGATCAGGGAAGGGTTTCTTGAGCTACAAGAGGGAGTTAAGAATGAAGCAAAATGAAATATGGCATCTTCAAATGACATGATGCAATAAACTTTAAATTGCAAGTTATTCAGTAGTTACTGAGCACCAGGTATGTGTCAGACACTGTTCTAGATGCTTGGGATACAAGTGGCTGAACAGCAGGACCTTGCCTTCATGGAGCTTACATTCTACCAAGGGAAAATAGTCAAATATGTGAGGTAATGTGTGCTACAGTAGAAATGAAAGGTAAGGGAGCTCAGGATTGCTGGGTGCAGAGATTTCAGTGTTGAATGGGGTAGCAGGACTCACTGGGAAGGTAAGATGTGAAGGCTGCTGAAACAGTGGCGTTAGGATTTTCCTTCATTCTTTCAACCAGCGAGATGCACTCAGAACCCTCTATACAATTTTATTCTCACTTTATACAACTCTGTGCATTAGTTCTGAGTTTTCAAGATTATTATTGGCATATCTAGGGAGAATTTTTAGGAATACCACCCAAAATAGTCACAATGTTCTAAAACCATTTTGTTTTCTAAATTGGTTTGGCAAACTATACAAACAGTCTGTTCCTTTTCGTTCTCCAAGTTGAGTTTTTAAATTTAAATTTTTCTTATATATTCTGTGCATTTTGACAATACTTAACACTTTTCAGAAGACATTAAAGTTCTGTTATGGCCTTAAGCATTTCTGTAAAGCTGAAAGGAAATATCATTTATGATTTATTGATGGGAAACAGTTACAAATTTTGAGTTACTTGAAAAACAAAAGGGATGAGATTTATGGCCTAGTGTTGTGTTTTCTTTCTTCACCCATAAGCAAAAATCTCTGAAAAAGCACCAGTATCTAGTAAAATATTTTTCCCCAAAAAATATTTTCTATTTTCCTCTCATCTCACCTCAGAGTTTAAGAAGCTTAACATTGTGATCAAAGGAAAATAGTATAATTGAATATTTTATACTGTAGAAATTTGCAACTATATAAAGGCATTATTAACGTTTTGCTAGTGATCAGTTTCCTATTAGGGCAGCCACATAAAATTAGGCATGAAACTTTAAAAGAAAATGTTGACTCTTAACTTTTCCTGCTTTAATGCTTAATTTTAAAATAGATTTAAGCAACTTTAAAAGCATTTTCCTGAGCAACTGCATTTTGTTTTCATTCTGAATTTAATGAGATTCTTTTTTTCTTTTACATTTTACTTTGCTTTAGAAAGGATTTAAGGTAGCTGAATGGGTTTCCCAGTGTGAGAAAAAT